CCCGCATCGGGCTCCCTGCTCCGCAGGAAGCCTGCTTCTCCCTCTCCCACTCCCCCTGCTTGTGTTCCCTCTCTCGCTGTGCCTCTCTCTGTCAAATAAATAAATAAAATCTTTAAAAAAAAAATAAAACACTTATCGTTGGAACCTCCTGGGTATGCTTCCTCGTCCCCTTCTTCCTCCTCTGCAGAGATATCCACCAAGTTTTGTTATTTCCATGCAAATTTTTATAGTTCATTACATATGTATATTTCCTTAAATGGTATGTATGGGCTTCCCTTCTTTTCCAAATATCTATTTCTGAAAATGTGTTGCATGGCTTCTTTTTTGGATAGCAGACACCCATTTTCCGTTACTGTAAATGGGAAATATGCTTTTTCAGCCCATTCTCTCTCCCTAAATAACCCAACCAATTTCCCCAAATACCTCAAAAATATTCTTAAATGACCATGTAATAATCCACCAAGGATCTCTGCATGATATAAAGCATTTAAAACTCCAATTACCGTATTATTTGCCATAGTAACTTATTGCTGGATACAGTTGTGCGTGGTAACTGTTATTCTTCCTTAGGCTACAGCGGATGTACACCAGCAGTGCAGCTGAGCAATGAAGTAATTTGTTAGCACCCCAGGCACCTGGCAGAAGTAAACACTGAGCCCCCTGGCTGGGTCCTCAGGAAAGAGGGGAAGCTGGTGAGAACAGTGGGGGATACACCGCTTGTGAAGCATCCGCGGGGCTGTAGGCCTTCCACGTCCTCATTTCCACCCACGTTCCTCGTGCCTTTGGTCGCAGCTCTGTCCCTGCACCAAGACCATATTGTCTTACTTACTGTAACTTTATCATTAACTGCTACCTACTGGTCAGACCCCCATCGAATTCTTCAAAATTCCCTTGGCTGTTCTTAGCCTTTTGCTCTTCTATAGATTTAGAATCCGTTTACCAGGCTTCAAAAGCCTGTACGGATATTGATTGGCACCAGAGCTTGCTTTGGATTGGATTCATAGATGAATACGAGCAATATTGTCAGTGTTCCACTACTGAGTCTGTTTGTGAATGTGATACTTCCCCCCACATTTGTCTTTGATGTCCTTAAGAAGATTTTTATTTATTTACTTACTTACTTTTAGAGAGGGAGGGGGAGAGGGAGAGAAAGAGAGAATCTTAAGTAGGCTCCACACTCAGCTCAGAGCCCGACTTGGGGCTCAATCTCATGACCCTGAGATCATGACCTGAGCCAAAATCAAGAGTTAGATGCTTAACTCAGTGAGTCACCCAGGTGCCCCCTTAAAAAGATTTTACTGTTTTCTGCATGGAGTTCTTTGACTTTTTGCTAGTTTTATTCATTAAGAACCTTAAAATTTTGTAGCTATTGTAAATGGTAATTTTTAAAATTACATTTACTAAGTGTTGATGATACATAGGGATAAGATTGATATTTAGATAAAGATCTGATAATCCCTTTGTGGAATAAATTATTAGAGCTCATTGTCAACTCTTGGGTTTTCTGTGTAGAGCGTCATATTGCTTGTGAATCATGACAGTTTTGTTTCTTTCTAGCCCTTGTACGTTTCTGTTTCTTATACTTATTCTGCTGACTGGGTCCTCTTGCACAAAGTTGAGTGGAAACAGTGATAGCGGGTACCCTTGTCTTAGGGTAGGACTTTAGGTGGAATGCTTTTATTTATTTATTTATTTATTTATTTATTTATTTTTAAAGATTTTATCCATTCAGGGACACCTGGGTGGCTCAGTCGGTTAAGCATCTGCCTTTGGCTCAGGTCATGATCCCGGGGTCATGGGATCAAGTCCTGCATCGGGGTCCTTGCTCAGCATGGAGCCTGCTTCTCCCTCTGCCTGCCGCTTCCCCTGCTTGTGCGCTCGCTCGCTCTCTCTGACACATAAATAAAAGCTTTAAAAAAATAGATTTTATCCATTCATTTGAGAGAGAGAGAGCACAAGCAGGGGGAGCAGTGGAGGGAGAAGGAGAAGCAGACTCCCTGCTGAGCAGGGAGCCTGATGCGGAACTTGATCCTAGGACCCTGGGATCATGACCTGAGCCAAAGGCAGACGCTTAACCAACTGAGCCACCCAAGCGCCCCTACGTGGAATGCTTTTAAAATTTCATTGTCAAGTATGACGTTTGGGGTATTTCCTTTCATTGGGATTATCAGAGCTGCCTTCTAAATTTCTAGTTTGCTTCAGTTTTATTAAAAAGTGGGCATTAGGGGCACCTGGGTGGCTCAGTCGGTTAAGTGTCTGCCTTCGACTCAGGTCATGATCCCGGGGCCCAGGGATCGAGTCTCTCAGCAGGGAGCCTGCTTCTCTCTCTGCCTGCCACTTCTCCTGCTTGTGCGCTTTCTCTCTCTTTCTGACAAATAAATAAAATCTTTAAAAAAAAAAAAGCGGGCATTAGATTTTTTTTTTTTTTTTAAAGATTTTATATATTAGGGAGATCATGAGCAGGGGAGAGGGGCAGAGGGAGAAGCAGGCTCCCCACTGAGCAAGGAGCCCGATGAGGGACTCGATCCCAGGAACCCAGGATCATGATCTGAACCAAAGACAGATGCTCCCACTGAGCCACACAGGCACCCAGCATTAGATTTTTTCCCCCCAAAATCTCCTGTGTCTGCTTATAAAATCATATGGTTTTCTCTTTTACACTGTGTGTGCTGAAATAGATTTTTTTAACATTCAATTCTCTTTTCATTCTTGAGGTACATCTATCTTAGTCATATGGATTTTTAAAAATACATTGTTGTATGATTTGCTCGTGTTTTATTTAGGATTTTTGCCTATAAATTTGTGTATATATGCGTGGTTCTCCTAGACTCATAAAAAAAGTTGTCTTGCCACAGAAAGGATATTGATAGGACTCTAGGAAGGAATCTGCCTGGGCTTTTTAAAGCAGCCGAAGAGAACATCTCTTACATGGCTTGCAGTGGGCCTAAGATCAAAGTGGAACAGTCGCTCAAGAAAAAATACACAATAGTCCCTGAAACAAAGACCCACTAAATCCCTCAGGAATCCTCATAGAATGTTCTTGGTAATGTGGTGAGGACTTGCTTTGTGTGACCTCCTACCACCACTCCACCCAGCGAGGGCTACCACCTTGTTCGAGAGCATGGTTCATGGGAGGGGCGGCATGGTCGAGTGCAGGGGCTCTGCTCTCTGGTCTGGCGTGCGCTCCCAGGCTGAGCCCTGGCTGACCACCTGTGCATGTCTGCGGAGTTGGGGGCAGAACACTACTGGGCAGGGCTCCATAACTTTCCTCACAGCCCCAGGGACCCAGGGCCCACAGACACGAACTGTGGCAGTCTGGAGAGTTTATAGAGGCCTCAGGCCGAACATCAGATTGAGCATCTTGTAGACCAGGTTAATAAATTCTAGTTTGTTCTCAAACTTGGTTTAATCTGGCTTAATCTCCCCCCAAAACTATGTGTGATGGCATACATCAGTGCTGTTCCTTAAACATCTGTGTCTTGCAGTCTTAACGCAGCAGGGCATGCATAAAGGGTCAGATTTTGAACTTTAGACAAGGCTTTAATATTTTAAATAGAAATGCTGCTTTGTTCATATTCAGGCTCTAATTTGAGCTACTTATCGGTGTCGGGGGGGTGGTGGTTAGATATTGCCTTGTTTAGCTCTGACCCGAGATCCGGCTAATAACTACGTGTGCCGTTCGCATAGGGCGAGCCTGGACATCTTTGACTACATCTACATAGATGCTTTCGGGAAGGGGAAGCAGCTGACGGTAAAGGAGTGTGAATACTTGATCGGCCAGCACGTGACAGCGGCGCTGTATGGGGTGGTCAACGTGAAGAAGGTGTTACAGCGAATGGTGGGAAACCTTTTAAGCCTGGGAAAGCGGTAAGGTTTTCTTGGTCTTCCAGCACTTGTGCCGAGTGCATGTGTTTGGAGGCACTATGGCCTTACAGAGGATTTTATTCGATGTGCTAATGGTGGATTCAGCGAGGCCGTGGATGCTGTGGGACACAGTTGGGATTATCTACAGCTGTTGACCCACTCTGGGAAGAAACTCATCCCTGTGACATGATGCTGTCCCGGTTTAAGATGTGCTAAGTGACTCCTCTTTGACACCTTCGAAGTGCACTTGCGCAAGCTCTCCGTAATACTGAAAGCATTCTTTAGTAACAAGAGTATTTTAGATTGGTAAAGGTTATTTTTCAGGGGCAGGATGTTCTCAGGTCCAAGTGCTTTGTCGTCTCTTGATTTATACATTTCTATCACTTAGATAAGAAACAAAAGTATGAAACTATTTTGCTTCTAAGTCAAAGGAAATTTGTCTTACAGGGAAAATAGAAGGTTGTATGTTGGAGTCATAGTTTTCTGCCTCATGGTGGAATGCTTTGTTTCTTTTTAAATAGATTTTTTTAGAGCAATTTTAGATTCCTAACAAAACGGAGCAGAAAGTCCAGAGAGTTCTCCTATCGCCCCCGCCCTCCCCCACCCCCCAGACTCCCCCACTATCGCCATCCCCCATCAGAGCGGGACATTAGTTATGGCCGATGAACCTCCAAGGCCGGGTTAACAGAGTCTATGGTTCACATTCGTCTTTACTCTTGGTGGTGTGCATTCTGTGGGTCTGGATAAATGCATAATGACAGGTATCCACCATTGTGGTATCGTACAGAACAGTTTTCCTGCCCTAAACGTCCTCTGTTCTCCACTATTCAGAATTTATTAGTTATGTACAGTGTTACTGAGGTGACTATGTAATGAAAGTGCTTACAGTTTTAATGTAATGCCCATCACCAAAGCAGGTACAAAAGTTCTATTTTTTCTGGGATTTATCATTATTATTAAAATCATTGTAACTACTTGCTGAGCAGAAAGGAAGAATTAGAACAGGTGTGGCATTTGTGTCCATTACTTTTACAACCTGGGCCTTGAAAAAGAGGATCTCCGCTCAGAAGCAAGCAGAGCCAGACCGTGATTTATTTCCCCTGCCAGGGAGGGCATCGACCAGTCCTACCAGCTCCTGAGAGACTCGCTGGATCTGTATCTGGCGATGTACCCGGACCAGGTGCAGCTTCTCCTCCTTCAGGCCAGGCTCTACTTCCACCTGGGGATCTGGCCAGAGAAGGTAATTATTTTCCTTTGCTGCTTTGCTCCTGCCTGAGAGAGGGAAATTCTAGCTGGAAAGGCGGCTCTCGGAAGCTTATCCTTGCATCAGCCTTGGGGATAAGCATAAATTGATTCGCTCTCCTGATCTTGACCCATCAGTTAAATGTTTTTGGTCTCCTTTATTCTAAAAAAGTTGGTTATACTGCTAGGAGTTGCCTGTTCTCTTTGTGGTCCGTGCCTTAAACCCCTAGAACCACAAGGCCTCAGCTCTGCGATTCACCCGCTGCTGCCCAACATGTGTTTGCCCCAGGTCATCCCAGCTCCACATAGGGAACCAAAACTTTAAATGTTCCTGGTCCAGCTGTGCTGGTAGCGTAGAAACGGACCATGCATAAACACTCCTGTTTGAGAAGGAGAAAATGGATCTTAGATGGATTCTTCGGGTCCGGCTGCTGGCCTTGAAGGACTGTCTCTGGCTTTGAAAGCTGTTGAATTCTGATACAGTCGCACTTGGGCTTCTCTGTTTCCTGATGGCCCCTGCGGCCGGCGGCAAGCACTCTGAGAGGACCGCGGTGACTGCGGTCAGAAACGCTCCTCAGCGAGCTGGGGAGGCGGCAGGGGTGTGCATCCAGCGGCCCCAGCATGGGAAGCAGCTGTGCGTTTCCATCATGCCCTGGCTTTGCCGTGTAATAGGCTAGTGATCCATTTTGTCTGTTCAGAGCAGCCTGCCGAGAGACGTCGCCATAAAATCATCTGCTTTTGTTCTTAGAGAGTGGTAAATAGTCTGACTCCACATTGCATAGACTTATTTATTTATTTATTT